CCAGCGCCTTTGCCCATGGGGCGTCATGGCAAGGGTTTCTGGGGATCCACTCTCTGCAGTCTGCTGAGAAGAGCAGAGGTGGGAGAGAGGGCAGGGCTTGGCTGTCCATCCCTACTCACACCTGGGACTTCCTGGTGGACCTTGCAGGGTGGGGGCAGCCTGGTTTAGGGTGGCTAGGTTAAATGTATGACTCTGTCCCCTGACAGGAGAAGGTGTCTGTCCAGGTGCCTGTAGGAGAACGAACTTTCAACTCTCTTCTTAGGCAGTGGGCTTTTGACTGCAAATGCCTATCGAGTCTTTCTTGTCTCAAGTTCTTCCCCCAAAGACCTGGAAAATCCTTTTTTGTGGATCTATTGGAAATTCATAATGAGGAAAAGTTAAGCATTGAACCATGTGAGGTGTGAAGACACAGCCTTGGGTTTCCAGCGTCTTCCCCGTGTCTGCTTGCGCATGGATTCCTGGGATCCCATGAATTTCGGGCTCTGCATCCCGCAGAGTGAGCCAATGCCTTCTGTGTGACTAGATGCAGACTGTCTGCTCCACTTCCTGGGGACCTGAGCACCTGCACAGGAGGCAGATGTCCTTCCGCACCTGACCACTGCTGCTCCAGCCGGGGTCTGATGCACACCAGCTGAGGGCATTTTGCTAAGGAGTCAGTGACGGTGAGGAAGCCTTTTGCCAACCGTCTAGACCCCACTGCAACTTGGTTTTGTGAGCTACACTTCTCGTGCTGTCGTGCTGTCCTCGTGGCTAACAGTAAGCACATTTTGTTGGTCTGCGATGTGCCAGGAGCTGCTCTGTGGCTTCCCAGGCACCAGAGTTCTCACAGCGTCCTCCAGGGCCGGCCTCCTCTCCCCTCACTAGACGTGGCTGACTTGTGCTGCTCCCACTCCAGGTGACCCCAGCACCCTCTCTGCCTGGCTGCTCCCCCTGCACCTCCCCAGCCTCTTTCTGTTGGAGGCCGTGGGTTTGGTCTTTGCATCCCCAAGACACTCAGGGCCTCAAACATCACTGATATTTTCAGGACTCCCCATTTAAAGTTCTAGTCTCCACTTTTCCCCTGACTCTCTCGCACATCTGCCCAGAGCCTGCACTAACCTAACAGACCTCTTCAATTTAACAGGCCCCACAACAAACTCTTGATCTCCACCTCCCCCCTCACCCCCCACACCAGAGCACAGGGGCCTGTCCACCCACGGCCTCCCCAGCTTTATCCCTCCAGGTGTTCAAGCCAAAAGCTTTTGGCTTTTGATTCCTCTTTTTGTATCTTTCAACCCATCTTCCAGGAAAACCTATAAGCCCTGTCTCTGTGGGACCTGACCCCTTGTCCCCGATGCCCCTGCCGTTCACCCCACGCCATCTCTTCTTGCCTGCATTATATATGCAGCCCGAAGCCGGTGCTGCTGCTCACAGCCTCCCCTCGCCTCTGTCTTCTCAACAGAACAAGATGATCCTCACCGTGGCGGCCACACCACTTGAGCCACTGAAGAGGAGAGGGCCCAGGGAGGCAGACAGGAGAGGGCCACAGGAAGCCAGCAGCAGACAGCAGAGTCCTGAGGCCCAACCAAGGACCGTCTGCAGTCCCCAGAAGCTGGAAGAAGCCTGAGCCCGTCCTCCCTGACGCTGACTAGAGGAGACCACCCTGCTCAGGGGCTCATTTTGGATTTCTGGTCTCCAGAACAAGGATAGTAAATTTCTGTGGTTTCAAGCCACTAAGTGTGTGCTCATTGTTACAGCAGCCTGGGAAGTGAAGACAGTAACTATGGCATTCAGGACCAGCCACGAGTCTCCCAGAGCCTCCCTGTCTCTGTCTGCAAACCGGGGGCAACCACACTGCCCTTCTGACTGGCAAGAAACGGTGACACATGTCTCAAAAAATCAGGATGGGTTAGTGTCCAAAGATTTTTTTTTCAAAGTGAAATTTTCATTGTTTTAAATAATGATTAAAATAATATGTAAAATGATACAAAGGCACTTAAAAAGGAAAATTCAAAAATCTGAATTTTTACAACTCTAGAAAAGGCCATTATTGCATTTTGGATGACCACCTATGTCCTTTTAGTAGGTTTGATATGTATGTTCCATTGTTGACCCTGAATCTCAGATTCCTCCCTTCTCAGCCGTTTGCCCTTAGCCTTTTGGTGACTCCATCTCCCTCGGCCCAGGATATTGATAACACCTGCCTGCCAGGGTCTTGTGTGGTTATAAAGGGGTAATGCATAGAAGGCACCCACAGTACCAGGGCCTGGCACATCATCTATAAACATGCAGAGGAGCAGAGGGCTTGCCAAGCCTGAGTGCCCATGCAGTTCTAGCATAGAGCTCTGCACAGAGAGGGTGCGGGATCCTTACAGACCACCCAGCTTCTACCAGCTGCTATGAAGGGCCCTCCTCTCTTGGCCTGGGGGTCTGCGTGGGCACCCCCTTCTTTCCAAGCAGATTCCTCACTGCCCTTCCAGCATCAGCTCAAGTACCATTTCTCCTGGGAAGCCCCTCTGACCCTAGGTGCAGTTCTGGGGTCTCCCCTGATCCTCCCAGCCTTGGGCTCACCACATGCTACCCCACATGCTACCCAACCTGCTCTCAGGCTTGTCCAGAACTTCTAAACACAAGACTCCCCAAAGGCAGAGCCCGGCTCACTCACCTGAGTGGCCACGAAACATGTGTAGAAAATGCTGGAAAGGGGAAAGGGCAAGAAATGGTGCTCAAATCTGTCCCTGGGGACCCGCTGCCTTCCTGGTCTCTCAGAGCTAGGGCTGGTACCCTTGCTGTCCCCAAGCCTGCTGGGATTCCTTCAACCACAGCACAAACTACATTCAGAATCTTTGTTAGTGTGCACGGCTCTTAATTTCACATATGTATCAGTCAGCTATTTCTGGGATAATGCTTCAAAACAACCCCCCCCCATCTCAAGGGCTTATAAGAGCACACATTTTTCTTGCATGTGAACCTGCAGCGGTTTCTGGATGCATGTGGGCTTCAGGTCTGCATCCTGGGTGTCTTGTTCTTGGTCAACTCTTCTGTGGGGCATGGTGGAAGTGCTGTGACATCTCTGAAGTGGCACAGTCACTTGCTCCCAGATAGCAGAGCCAGGTCAGGGAAAGGAGAAAAAAATGAGCAACTGGCACAATTTACACAGTAGCTTGTTGCTGAGGATAAGAGCTGATGCTTGAGCTGGGCTTACTGTGTTCCAAGGACCAACATCAATTCACTTATTCCTCATAAAAACCCTCGGAAGGGGAGGTGCTATTATTAGCCCCATTTTACAGATGAGGGAACTAAAGCCAGAAAAGGTTAAAAGACCTACTCAACTTTACCTACTGGAGAGTGGAAGAAAGCCCAGCCCAGGGCCTATCCATGTTCCTCCTCTGCCTCATGAGGGTCCCCTTTGTCAGTGCATGGCCTGGTGCAGGCTGGACACATCATCGGTGCTTGCCAGTAGAGCGAAACGGAGGACGTATTTATCCATCAGTATCTCCATGCCAGGCACTGTGCCCTGCTCTTTGGCTGATACCACCCTAACAGCAGCCCTGGGCATCACCACCCATTCCACAGAAGAGAACTCCAAGGCTGACTTCTGCAAATGAGGACTAAAACCTGCGCTGGAACCTGCTGCATGGGGCTGGCTCCAAGTTCAGCTCATTTATTGTCCCTGGATGTTTTTAGCAGCCTTAGTGAGCCACGTCTGAGTCACTTTCTGAGAGTAAAAGGAGGAAAGAGGGGAAGAGGGAGAAAAGGGGAGGGGGAAGGAAGGGGAGGGGGAAGGAAGGGGAGGGGATGGGGGGCGAGGGGAGAGATCTACAGACACACACCCAGGTGGGGATAAAGAGGATGGGAAGACAAAAAGAACCGCTGCTTTCTACCAAAGCACGGACAGTGGCTCCAGGCGCCCAGCAGATGGCAGGATGTGGCCAAAAAATCCCAGGCAGGCCGCGCGGATAGCGGATAGCACAGCGTGGCACCGTAAGAGCCTGTCGCTCAGGGAGCGTGCTCCGAGCCCGTGCCCGCTCACTCCCGCCCCGCAAGCCTCGGGGTGCACGGGTCTCACCCCACTCCTTGTGCACCTTTGTCCCGGGTGCGCCTTTCTCCCACCTGCGCTGCACAGGCACCTAGACCAGAACCCCAGCCTCCAAGTCGGCCACCAACACGGCACAGTTTGGGGGAATCCCGAGGTCCACGCCTGGCCATTCCCAGAGAGGACTGATCAGGGCAAAGCGCCAGTGTCTCGGGCTTAGTTTCCTGATGTACAACGAGGGGCCAGCCGGGGCTCTGGAGGGTCTAGGCTGCACTTTTCATTCATTACGTATCTAGAAAAACACAATGAACAAATCCGCCTGTTGGCGATCAGGTCCACCGACTGCTGCCGCGCGTCCCAGGCCCGAAACCCCAGGCGGGGGCCTGGGATGGAGAGCTCCCCAACCCCGAACTCAGCCCACCAGCTCGAACGTGGAGCAATGGTTTCTAACTCTTGGGCTGTTGAGAGGGGATCTGGGGTGGCTTACAAAGGGCTTGGCCCTGGCGGGTAGTAGGTGCTCGAACACTGACCGCCAACAGCGGCGGTCCTGCCGACCTCCTCCCGGCCGCCGGCTCCCGCCTGGTGTCCGCGCCCGACCGGGGCCGTGCGCCCAGCAGCGGTCCCCGCCCCTCCCCGGCCGCCCCGGGCTGCGCCCAACGCCGCGCCCCCTCCGTACGGTCGTCGCCGGTTCCCTCCCTCTCCTCCTCCTCCTCCGCCCCCAACGCCACCGTCTCCCGCCCTCTGCAGCCGGCGGCCGCGCGGCACGGTGGCCAGGCGCGGGGAGTCCCCGGGTTCCGACACCGGTGCTGGTGCTAGGCGCGGCCGCGGGGAGAGCGCGGCCCTGGGGGCGCCCGGGAGCAGGGGGCGCGGCGGCGCGGTCCCCGCCCCTGCACGGCTCTTGGCCCCCTCCGGCTCGGCGCGCTGCTCCAACCTGGGCTGGGCGCTCCCAGCGCATCCCGCATCCCGCACCCCGCATCCCTGCGAGCATCCCGCACCCCACATCTCCGCGGACGGGCATGTAGCAGCGGCGGCCGCCGCGGCGGAATATGGGCGGGAACCACTCCCACAAGCCCCCCGTGTTTGACGAGAATGAAGAAGGTAAGAGGGCACCCGCCGCCGCTCCCCGCCACGCTCGGGCGTGGGCCGGGAATCCCTTCCTCCGCCATCCTTCGCCGAGCGCCTGCTGGGTGCCACACGCCGCAGCTGGGCGCGGGGATCCGGGCGCAGCCAAGTCGCCGCGCGCCAGCGGTGCGCCGGGCCCTGTGCCAAGCGCTGGGCTTCTACCGAGGCAACCCCTATGCCTTGGGTGCCCTTGAGGGGCTGGGACGGTGCTGAGCCCGGGGCTGGGGCTGCAGATTCCGGGGTGGCGGGGAGTGGAACCCAAGCCTCCACTGGGGGTGTAACTGGGAGAGTTGGCTTCATGGGCGAGTCCCGAGGTTGCTCCGGCTTGGGCTCCGGGAGCCCAGATCGCCTTCAGAGCTGGAAGCAGAAGAAAGTGGCCTGGGTGGGCGGGCTGTATCGTGTGTGTGCGCGCACACGTGAGTGTGAGTGTGTGTGTGTGTGTGTGTGTGTGTGTGACAGAGAGAGAGAGAGCGTGTGTGAGCCCGCGCCGCCCCTCGCCCCTGGCACAGCGGAGGCTGCTCTCTTTAGCCTTCCAGGGCAGCTTAAGGAAACTTTCTTGGCTAAACTCCAGGGCTCTGAGGAGGGCGTCTTAGGGGCAGCCTCCCTGGTCAAGGAATGGGGTAGGCTGCCCAGCCTCTTCCAGACTCCAGGGCTCTGGAGCCTTGAGGCTCAGGTGGACATAGCTCTGTATTTGGCCACAGCAGAACTCTGTTTCCAATGCTGTGTGGCTCTGGGCAACTTACCTAATTTCTCTGAAGCGTCATTTCCTTCACCTGTGAGATGAGAATTACAGAACCTCCACGTGCCCTGACCGAGCTGCCCAGAGCTTAACCAAGAGCAAAGTGCCTCCTAAGTGCAGGCAGCCCAGAGCTGCCCCACTGTGGCTGCTTCCTATTGTGCTGACCCATCTCCCTGGTGCCCCAAATCAGACCTAAGACCTCGAGCCTGCCTGGTGCCAGGCACTGCCTGGGTGTTTGCCAGGCCCGTGTAGCTCCCCCACGGGACTGTACTTTGTGTCTGTGTATACCAGTGGGCAGTCATGGCTAGGTAGAGCCGAGCTGGCTCTGAGGCTGGACAGTCTGTCCTGGGATCTGTGCTTGGTCATCACTGCCCAGGGTGCAGGCTTGTGTGCACACAGCCCGTGGATTCTAGGGCTGCCCAGGCCATGGTGCTATTCAGATGCCCCCAGAACAGCCCCTCTGGAAAGGATAGGTGGGCACGTCAGTGTCAGTTAGGCCGGTGCCTGCTGCGCCAGGCCCTGGGTCCTTCCTCGCAGGGGTTCCTGATCTGGTGAAACTGAACGACCCTCTGTGCTGATAAGGGCAGTGAGGGCCAGCTAGGGTTGGGGGCCTCAGCTCTTCCTGGTGTTGAGGCTAGAGCATGGGCAAGTAGGAGCTGGCGGCAGAGGAGAGGTAGTGGAGGCTCTCGTGTGTCCTGGGAAGAGTTTGGACACGGTGTAGTATCACCCTCAGTTTTAAGGGTTCATGGTTCTAGCCTGGGTCAAGGTCATGCTGTGGGTAGTTTTCTAAGCCTCTTTCCTTTTCTTCCTTTCATTCTCTTTTTTTTTTTTTTGCAGAGAACATTCACTGCCTTTATTTTGACAACTATCTCTATATTTTATTCCAGAAAATATGCTCTAAAGTATTTATTGACAAAATACTTATGTCTGGAGTACAACCTTGTGCTTTTCCCTCTGGGGTTCCTCATTCTGAAAGTGGATTGAGCCTCAGCTAGCTGCGTACTTTGGTGCTGGTTGAAATACAAGGTGGGACTCTCCAGCCCCGTGAAACATTAACTTGTTTGCTTTAGCCAGCGACTTTCTCACATATTTCCCTGTGCAAATAAACCATGCTGTTCGTCACCAACAGGTTCATTAATTTCACAAGCATTTACCGGTCATTTTTTCCTGCACCCACCCCTGTACTGGATGCCAGGAACATAGTGCCGATGGAAGATCCCTAGCCCAGGGAGGAGGGGGAAGAAGTCAGAGAGCTGCTCCTTTTAGATTTCAGTCTTGCAGAAATGGCAGGAGGTACCCAGGGAAAGGGGTGGTTGGTGGAAGAGGAAGGGTGCTTCCAGAGGAGTGAACAGAATGTGCCAAGGCAGAGGCGAAGAGTCAGCGTGGCTGGACTCCAGGCCTGGGGGTGGTTGATCCTGCTGTAGTGTGGACTGTGAGGACGGAAGGTACAAGACATGCCCCTGAAATGCCAGCCCAGTCTTAACGGGCCTGGTGACCAGGAAAAAGTGCTCAGACTTGAACTTGTAGGCATTCTGGAGCCACTGAAAGGTTTAGGCAGGGAAGTGACGTGGCCCGACGAATGTGCATGCTCCCAGACTGTAGCCATCAGGTGGCTGGAGGCGCAAGCACCCGAGACAGTCTGATTTGTGAGTATTTTAATGCCAAGCCACGGCTGAAAATTCACCATTGCGTAACCGTGCCTTGGCCATCTCCACTCTTAGGGCCCGGCGTAGCCCAGCGTGAGCACCGCTGCTCTGCTAACACCACGTAACAAGGTGGCCAGAGCTCTGTCATGCGACGAGAAAGAATCATGTCATAGATTAAGTGGCGCCATCGCTTCTTAGTGGTGCATAAAATACCAGCGGTCTTCTGTGGATGGCGTCTGAGTCAGGTGGACCCGGGTGCAGTGGCGGAGCCTCCTTGACTTGCAAATGACAGAAAAACAACATGAAGTGCTTTTAAGGGAACTGACTGCCAGTCCTCACCCCCTTCATTACCGCAGGTCTGCTTCAAGCTGCGGTCACAACGCCTGCTTAGATTATTCCCACAGCCTCCTTCCCTAGGCTCCTCACTTTGCCCCCACCCTCTTCAGAGTCACCTCAATGAAGCAGCCAGGTGACCTGTAAGATGTGCGTCACACCCCATCCGCCTCTGCTTGTTCCCCCAGGGCCTCCCCGTCCCCTGGCCCCAGGTGCAGCGCACATTAAGGGGAGGATAACAGAGGAAGTCCTTGCAGATGCCCAGGAGACCCTGCCCTCCGGGACCTCACTTCCCTCCTTGTCCCCAGCCCTCCTGCCTTCCCCTGCTCCCTGGCCCCCCTGCTGCTGGCCCCTGCTCCTCTTGCCTGAGGCTTCTCCCCACAGCCCTCTCTCACCTCCTTGGGGTTCTCTTGTGGGCACACTCCCACCCCTTCCTCCTTCATTTCTCTTCGTGGCAGTCTCACCATCCAGCGTGTGTTTATTACTTATTTTCTTAGTGTGGTCTCTTCCCATCTCAGTTTCAAGTGCCTTAACAGTGGGGATTTTGTCCAGTTACTCAGGAGGCTGAGGCAGGAGGATGGCAAGTTTGAAGGTAGCTCAGGCAACTTAACAAGACTCTGTCTCAAAATAGAAAATAAAAAAGCGTTGGGGACATAGCTCCGTTGGTAGAGTACCTGCCTCGCAGGCGCAAGGCCCTGGGTTCAATCCCCAGCACCGCAGAAACAAACAAGCAAACAGAAAAAAGGGTGGGAGGTGGCTCAGCTAGAGCACTGAGCAATCTTGAAAAATAACACAAAGCAGAGGTTCTGTGGCAGTGCCTCCCCTTAAAGCATTACAGCCTTTTAAAAGACAGGGATCTGGCGGGATTTATCCCTGCTGTATCTCCAAGGCCCCAAGTAACACCTGGGATGTGAGAGGTGCCCGGTAGGTTTTTGGCAAGTGAATGAATGAAGATGCCAATCTCATCAGCCGCAGCCGGACACAGGTTCCCGAATCACATTAGGAATCTTGTGCCTTGGATTCTTTGTTCTCCTTTCTGAGTTTTATTCTCCGACCTGCTCTCTCCCCTCAGGAGACCCCCCACCCCCCACCTCCAGGCTCACAGCCTCCTCTCAGAGTGTGAAGAGATCATCTTTCTCATAGTAACTCCGAGAAGGTACCAGGGTTACTGCTTATTGGTTCTGATTAGGTTTTGGGCTATTCTTGAACTGATCACTGGGAGACAGAAGGTCTATACTGGCCAAGCTGGATCACAGGCCATGCTTGAATTTAAGCAGTGGAGTTGGTTTTACTCAAGGTATTTGGACTAAGGGTATATGTTAAAAAATTTCCCAAAGAATACTGGAATATCAATAGAGGGCAGGTGCATACTGCTGGCAGGCAGATTAAAAAAACAAAGAGCCCACTCACTCCAGCACCTGTTATGGCTGTGTTCTTTGGAACACAGATTGTGACACTTTGTCTTATCTCATTCAATTTTTTGATTCCATGTTGTGTTAATCAGTTTTCTACTACTATAACAGAATACCTGAGATAATCAATGTATAAAGAAAAAAGTCTCTATTTGGCTCACAGTTTTGGAGTTTTCAGTTCATGTTTGGTGGGTCCTATTGTTTTAGGAATGTGTGGTAGAGGAAAACCACTTACCTCATGACCAGGAAGTAAATGAGTAGGATGGGGAGATGGTTCCACCATCCCTTCAAAAATAAACCCTGAACAACCTAAAGACCTCCCACCAGGCCCCACTTGTTAAAAGTTCCACCACCTCCCAATAGCCCACCATGGGCAACTTTCCCATATGGGCCCTTGGGGAACTTTTGACATCCAGGTGACGTCAGTGTCCACATTCTGACTAGACTGGGGCCTCTTAAGAGCAGCACTTACTTTTTATCTTTTTTTTTTTTTTAAACTTTTCCATCTGCAAAGCTAGACCAGGGCCACTGAAAGCATATGGCAACTATTTTTTTTAATGAAAGATGAAAGCAATCACTTCTCAGGGGTCAATTTCCTGCATTCTTCTGGTTTTGAAACTATTAAGAAATGAAGACATTTCAGATTTGTTACCGGTAAACTTTGTTTGGAGATCATGCACTGGGATTGAGACCAGAATGGCCTTTCTGCTCCTGTCTCCCAATTTCCATATTGAAAGCTGCTGGATTAGAGACTCAACTCTGCAGAATGGGCCCCACCCTGCCAGCAGCTTGGTGGCCCCCTGTCCTGGTGCTCAGAGAACCCACGGGGCACCCCTGCTCAGCAGC